GGTTGCGTGGGGCAGCCCCGCAGCGAGATGCGAGAGTCCTGCACGACCAGGGGACCCAACAGGCGTGCGGGGTCTGGGCGAGGGGGACGGATGCGCGGGATGGCCGGCCGCGCACCTGCTGGGAGAGCCGTGCGTGTGCGCGCGTGTGCGCGCATGTGTGTGCGTGCGTGTATGTGTGTGCGTGTGTGTGCGTGCGTGTATGTGTGTGCGTGTGTGTGCGTGCGTGTATGTGTGCGCATGTGTGCGCGTGCATGTGTGTGCGTGCGTGTATGTGTGTGCGTGCGTGTGTGCGCGTGTATGTGTGTGTATGTGTGTGCGTGCGTGTATGTGTGTGTATGTGCGCGCGCGCGTGTATGTGTGTGCGTGTGTGCGCATGTGTGTGCGTGCGTGTGCGCGTGTATGTGTGTGTGTATGTGTGTGCGTGTGCGCGCATGTGTGTGCGTGCGTGTATGTGTGTGCGTGTGTGTGCGTGCGTGTATGTGTGTGCGTGTGTGTGCGTGCGTGTATGTGTGCGCATGTGTGCGCGTGCATGTGTGTGCGTGCGTGTATGTGTGTGCGTGCGTGTGTGCGCGTGTATGTGCGTGTATGTGTGTGCGTGCGTGTATGTGCGTGCGTGTGTGTGCGTGCGTGTATGTGTGTGCGTGTGTGTGCGTGCGTGTATGTGTGCGCATGTGTGTGCGTGCATGTGTGTGCGTGCGTGTATGTGTGTGCGTGTGTGTGCGTGCGTGTATGTGTGTGCGTGTGTGTGCGTGCGTGTATGTGTGCGCATGTGTGCGCGTGCATGTGTGTGCGTGCGTGTATGTGTGTGCGTGCGTGTGTGCGCGTGTATGTGCGTGTATGTGTGTGCGTGCGTGTATGTGCGTGCGTGTGTGTGCGTGCGTGTATGTGTGTGCGTGTGTGTGCGTGCGTGTATGTGTGCGCATGTGTGTGCGTGCATGTGTGTGCGTGCGTGTATGTGTGTGCGTGTGTGTGCGTGCGTGTATGTGTGTGCGTGTGTGTGCGTGCGTGTATGTGTGCGCATGTGTGCGCGTGCATGTGTGTGCGTGCGTGTATGTGTGTGCGTGTGTGTGCGTGCGTGTATGTGTGTGTGTGTGCGTGCGTGTATGTGTGTGTATGTGCGCGCGCGTGTGTATGTGTGTGCGTGTGTGCGCATGTGTGTGCGTGCGTGTGTGTGCGTGTATGTGTGTGTGTATGTGTGTGCGTGTGCGCGCATGTGTGTGCGTGCGTGTGTGTGCGTGTATGTGTGTGCGTGTGTGTGTGTGCGTGTATGTGTGTGCGTGTGTGTGCGTGCGTGTATGTGTGCGCATGTGTGCGCGTGCATGTGTGTGCGTGCGTGTATGTGTGTGCGTGCGTGTGTGCGCGTGTATGTGTGTGTATGTGTGTGCGTGCGTGTATGTGTGTGTATGTGCGCGCGCGCGTGTATGTGTGTGCGTGTGTGCGCATGTGTGTGCGTGCGTGTGCGCGTGTATGTGTGTGTGTATGTGTGTGCGTGTGCGCGCATGTGTGTGCGTGCGTGTGTGTGCGTGTATGTGTGCGCGTGTGTGTGTGTGCGTGTATGTGTGTGCGTGTGTGTGCGTGCGTGTATGTGCGTGCGTGCGTGTGCGTGTGCCGGGCGGCGTGTCCTCAGGGGCCCTGGGGAGGCCGCGCTCTCAATCCGCCTCCCTGCGCATTTCCTGCGGGGCCCAAGGGCGCGCACCAAAATCGATATTAACCACTGATTGTGGCCCAGCTGTGCGCGTGAACTATGGAGCCGCCTCGCGCGACAGCCTCGCTGGGTGCGCACATCACCCGGCTTCACAGGGAAGGCGCGAGGCAGCTTCGCAAGGGGAGCGGGCCGCACGCCGGTCCGGGGGAGGTCGGGCAGGCGCAGGCTCAAGGCCGCCTCACTCCAAATCCCTTTCTGCTGATAAAGGAATTTGGACTGAACGATCTTTGAAAAGAGGGCTTCTGGAGAGGACGCCACTCGGCGTGAAGGAGTGGGTTCTACCGCAGCACAGTGGGTGAAGGCCGGCCCAAGGCTGTGCCGAGCGCTGCTTGCTTTGACTAAGTTTGATGCAGAAACCACCCCAGAACTGGATTTTTCTTGACTTGGAGAGAAAAAAGCACTGTTCTGAGTGTCTCCTTGCCCTGAAGGAGCTCCTCTCCCCGCACCGTGCCAGGAGAGCAGGCTTTCTCGCAGTGTGCTCACAGTGCACATGTCCTAATTCTGAGAAACTTTTCAAAAGCCACCTTTTAGTGGCATGTCATACTGAGCAGGCTAAATAATACCACGTACATTTAGCAGGATGAAATGGCCACACTCACGCCTTCTCTCCTGTTCAACATTTGTTGAGAGCATATTTTGTGAAATCCACTTGTGTGTTTTTAATGTGCTGGCCGGGAGGCAGTAAAGAGGGAGATTAAATGACCACCAGCCCCCTGCCGTCCAGGAGTTCAGTGTGGTGTAGGCCAGACAGAAGAGCAGCCCTGTTATATCAGATGGTACGGATTCAGGGTGTAATGGAAAACCAAGGTGCAGCTCAGTTTTGCCCATGTGTGTCATGGAAAGCTTTGTAGAAAGACGGAAAGTCCATTCAGTGGTCTTCCCAGCAGAAAATGTAAATGACAAGATGTGACAGAGAATGGAAAATAAGACTAGAACATGACACGCCCGTCGGAGGGTAAAGCAGGGCCTGCACTGTCATCTTTTTTGGCTGATGAGGCTACTGTGATTCAGAGAGATTCAGGGCCTGCCCACAGATTTCAAAAGATGGTGGAGATTTTGTTTAGAGTTCAGGCCACCAGCCTGCACTTTTGCACCTTTCTGCTCTCCCAGATTCCCATTTAGTTTTAATCCTGTTTTTCCCTCTCTTTATGGAGGTGAAAGCAAGTTGTGCATGTCCATCATCAGAAATGAGAAATGTTTGACTCTGAAGTGAAAGTTGGCTCTTTACATTGCAATTGGAAATTTAGAGGGTGATCATTTACATTTGTGTGGAATGTAACAGCATCGTAGAGGCACAGTGGCTAGTGCTTAGTGTGATCTTTAGATTCAAGCCAATTGGATTTTCACATACAAAGTCCACCACATGCTAAGTTACTTAATATTTGACTCAGATTCCTCATCTGAAAATAGGGATAAAGACACCTACCTGCTCCTAAGCAGATCAAATGAGATAAGATACATAACTAACTAGCATAGATCCTAGCATTTGGTGAGTGCTCAATAAATGGTAACTTTCATTACTAACCATGACATTATGATCGTTACATTATATTAATCACATTAAAGAATTAAGAAACTCTCATAAATGGAGCTACTCACAGAGCAAGTGAAATAACCTCCTTCAGTAATTTCAAGCCGTGAACTTTGTACCTACTTCACATCAAGACTTAACCATTTTGAACATTTTGTGTGCATCATAGAGTAACTTAGAGCATCACAATTGAATCACAATGGCATTACCGCTTGATGACTCACGGCATTCTGGAATATATGCATGAGAAGGAAGCTAATCCCTTGTAAGTGTGGGACATATAAGTAAAATCATACAGTGTTTGTCTTTATCTGTTTAACATTCAGTTAACATAAAACCTTTTAGGTACATCCATGTTGTCTCAAATGGCAAGGTTTCATTCTTTTTCACGGCTGAGTAATATTCCATTGTATATATGCACCACATCTTTATCAACTCATCGTTGCTTCAAGATTGTGGCTATTGTGAATAACACTGCAGTGAACATAGGGGTGCACATATCTTTTCAAATTCAAGTTCTTGGTTTCTTACATACCCAGACATGGAATCGCTGGGTCATGTAGCACATGGTAGTTCTATTTTTATTTTTTTGAGGAAACTTCATACTGTTTTCCATAATGGCTGTACCAATTTGAAAACCCAAGAACAGTGCACAAGGGTTCTTTTTTATTATTTTTATAATCAAATACACCTGTTTTTCCAATGAGTTTTAAAAGAAAATGATCACCTGAGCTGTCTGCTCTTCCCCGCCCTTTCGTACCCTTGAAAAGTTTGCCCCCACATCCCTGCTGCCCTTTGCCATGTGGTTTAGCCATGAGTAGAGTGAGGTAATTAATGTAGCATCTGAGGGTGAAACTACTAGATTTTCATACAACTCTTCCCCTTACCAACCAGGGATAATTATTAAATGCTTTGTGGCTTTAGTTTTCTCACCTCTAAAAAAGGAGATGATGATAATAACCATACCAAAGTCATAGATTTCTCATGAGGTGTAAATGTGATAATGCATGTACAACACTTGGGACAATATTTGGCCTTTCATAGTTACTCAAAATATCTTATGTATTTTAATTATTACTAATATTTAGAGCAATGAAGAAAGTACTAGAGATTCCAATGAAAATTTATCCAGTGAATATTTGTGGATGGGAATGAGTAAATACCAATTTTTTTACATAACTTTTGCTGCATTTCCCCCAATAAAATCCTCTTTTATTGGGCTTTATTTAATTCTTTGAAAATAAGCTTCATTATAAAGAGTAAATATCATTTTAATTGATTTCCTAACTCGAGAACTTCTGTTTACTGTGACACATAGCCTGTAAGAATTCAAAACTTTTTTAGAATGATGAAGACCACAGAATGAGCCCTGCTATCTAGGTCTTGTTTCAAATAGCTTACACTGCTGATTCAAGAGATACGACATTTCTAGGCACTGCCTGCTTTTAAACATCTAAACTCTGTAAAGAAGGTTCCTTTCCTCACTCTTCTTTAGCTGTGTAATATTTTCCTATCTTGTAATGTCATTATAGCAAAATTTCCTATAGAATCAGGGCATTTTTGCTGTGAATAAATTGTTTGTTACTGAAATTTCTTTTCACCATAAACTAAATCAATTGACACAAAGGGGAGCTATTTTTTCCATACTATCACATCAATAATTTTGTCATAGATTCTACTCAATATCCATTCTTATCTCTTTCCTTAATAACGGACCCTGCTATTATTCAGACTGGAAATATACCCAAGTAAAATATAGCATTCCCAGGTTTCCTCAAATATAATGACCGTGTGACTAAGTTCTGTCCGTAAGATCTAGTGAATTTAAGCAGAAGCGATGTGTAGAATGTCCTGGGTGGCTTCCTGAAGGGAGCTGATCAGCTGGGAGCCACGCCGTTCCTGTGCTTCTCCATTTACTGCTTTCAAGGTGCCTGGGATATGGACCCCTGGCTGCACCTCTAGGGTTCACACTGCACAGCCCTGTGCCGGATCGGTGGGAGAGAAAGGCCTGGAGGGCCTGAATCTCTGCAAATTTGGAGCTGCCCCACCAGCCCTGCACTCTTTACCTTCAGACTTCTTTTACATGGGAGAGAAAAACTTTCTTGCTTAAGCCACTGTTTCAGGTTTTCTGATATGCGCAGCTGAGCCCAGGACTAGGTAGTTTGGTAATGAGACAGTCGCTTGTATCCATAACACTACTGCTTTCTGTGCCAGTGCCCTCCAGCCGCGGANACATGGGAGAGAAAAACTTTCTTGCTTAAGCCACTGTTTCAGGTTTTCTGATATGCGCAGCTGAGCCCAGGACTAGGTAGTTTGGTAATGAGACAGTCGCTTGTATCCATAACACTACTGCTTTCTGTGCCAGTGCCCTCCAGCCAAACCCGCAGGAGCGGCGAGCGGCTGCAGGGGGAAGCAGGCCACAGGCAGCCGGCTCTCAGCGGGGGGCGGTGTGGCCCAGGAAGGACGCGGAGGGCCGGGGCTTGGGTGCAGCCTCTGAGGTAAGGGGGAAGGAACAGCATTTTGCCCTGGGTTGGATGCTGGCAGGGAGTGGGCATGTTTCTGTGACTGGATATCTTTACTCTCCTGCCCGAGGAGAGAGGCTAAAGCTGTAGCTGCAGTGGTTGGGCTGGGAGGATGTTTGGTCATATCCTGTTGTACCTTGGGCAACGTTCATGTTTTGTTTGTCTTCAGGCACGAACGTAAAATGGTCTTTTGCCATAATCCATCATGGCCATGCAGTAGCCTTGTTTGATGTTGGTGTTTTGGGAAATTGTTCATGTTTAGCAGGGGAACATCAAGGCCAAGGTACTAGACCGGCTCCTGGATGTCAGGGGCTACTTTTTTCTTTCTCACCTATAACAATGCTCGGTGCAGGGTAGGGCTCAGTTAACGCTGGTCGAATGAATGGAACAAATTAACAAGTGTTCAGTGAACAAATCAAGAATAGACAGTTACTATGCTTATTTCACTGTTGTCAAGGTGACCCTTGAATGAACCTGTATCATTTTAAAAAATAATTTGCTCTCACTAATTTGTATAGTGATTAGGTTAAAATTATCTCCAAAGTTAAGTGAGATATTTAAAAAGCACTGAGAATGAGAATTAACTATATCCAACGTGGATAACCTGTAAGACTAGGGGCAGGGATATCTTCTCTTCATCTGTTCATCACCCTTAATTCCTAGCACAGTTCTATATTCATTGGACAATCTTAGTAAATAATTGTATTTATCAGTGTATACAAGTCCTGAGAAATCCATTAACTGTTTCCTATACTTTAAAAAATACTCATAGTTTATTGTTAACTCTGAAACTATTAGCTTGGGTTTCCATTTCCTTTACAGTAAGAGGAGTCTCTGACTGGAAAGAGTATCTTTAAGTTGTAAATATTATCATATAATTTAGATAACATTTACCGAGAGTTTATGTTTGTAGATATTACCTCATTTGATCTTTAGAAAACACTATAACATAATTGTTACCATCCTAAAGGAACAGATGAAGAAATTCACTTGCTGGAGGTCACGTGTTTATTTGAAAGAAGTGGGATCCAAATCTGGTTTCTTTGACCCAAAGCCCATTCAGTTAGTCACTGTTACATATAATGTCTACTATAGCACTAGGTATATAGTAGGAGCTCAATTTTTTTAAAAATGGAAATGGCTTGATAAACTGAAATATTAATGATTCAATAGTGTAAAAGAATCTAGTAATAAATTGACCTCTGACTTTATAACTAGTAAGGCAGAACAGATGTGTGGAATAACTCTTAAAGTTCCAGGATGCCCATAGGCCTACAAGACATTGACTGTTTTAATGAAACTGAAGGACAAATGTACTAATTATAAGGGAGATGGAAGGTGGCTAAACTTGGTTCTGTCCATCCAAACACATTTCCAGGAAGGGTCTTCTCTGGCCCAAAGAGTCCACTCTTTTTATTTTAGTAGCTGATACATCATTA